CCCCCGGCCGCTGCAGCGATCATGGCCCCCGGCCGCTGCAGCGATCATGGCCGCTGCGCGGCCCGGTGCCAGGTACTCCACGGCCTGGCACCGGTCCGCGGACCGGGGGTTGGGGACCACTGCATTACAGTATTTGACTATCTTTTTAACAAATCTCCCAGATCCTTTTGGACTTTCCTCTACATGCTGCATTCTCTTTTGCTTTCTATTTCTATTCCTCCTGGTGTTTTGTTTTTTTAGGAGACTGTAACAGAAAGCAAATTCCTTAATTTTCTACTTAAAATTGCCCTGGTGCAGTCCTCAGTGAATGCTCAAGTCTTGCATCTTTCCACAAAGCCATTGCACTGGCACTTAAGAGCCTGGAGATCATGTACCAATTTTTATAGAGAATTGAAAGTGAAAATAATGGCAGTCACCGAGCAAAAAATAGAATGGAGATTCTGAAGGGATCATTAAGTGAATGTTTTCCTTAGGATCATTTAATTCCAAATCCTCATGCTATTGAATTTCCCATTTTGATTTTTTTCAAAATGACTCCATATAGGACATTTAACAGCAGTTGTTTGAGTTATTTCAGGATTGCTGCAATAAAAATAAAATATTAACACCAACATACACACACACACACACCACATAGGTGGCAGAGATACAGGTAGTCCTTGAGTTATGCTCATTCCATTCGTAATACAAAGATTCATGGGAGTGAATCTCGTACCTTGAATGGAATCACTCCCTCCTTTCGCCTACGCATTCTCTAATCAAATGTGAGGCTGGTTAAGTGCACATGAGGTATTTCAGGGTGGGAAAGGCCATGGGGGAGCCTAGTGATGGAACATACCACCTGCCTAAGACCATCCCAGCCCCCCCAACCCACTGAAATACCTTATGCTCCCTACAATTACTTCCCCATCCAACCTGCCGCGCTGGATCACTGGTGCAAAGATCTAGCAAGCTGTCTCCTCTCAGAAGAAGCCTCTCAGCCGCATGCACCCCTCTCCAGCTTCCTTTAGGCCTGCGCAGGCCTCGCCTGGCACATTGCAAGCCAAAATGCTGCTTCGCAGGCCTTGCCCAGCACGTTACAGGCTGAAATGGAGGTCCAAAGGGGCAGATAATTCTTAAATCTGGCCCTAGACTCAAATCTAGATCTTGTTAGTTTTTGCAAAATTGAAAAGCTTTTAGTACTGGCACCACCACTGTATAATTTTTGACCAGGATGGGAAGTTTGCTATTGTAATGGTTGAAACGCTGAAAGATAGATGTCACTTTCTGGACCTAGTTTCCATCAGTTTTACAGATGGGATCTTGCCTAACAGAAGAAGAAAAAAGAACGTGTAAAAAAAAAACCCTTGTTAGAAATGAAAGGAGTGGTTTGTGGTTACATAAAGGTTAGCTGAATTTCACAATTTTCTAAACCATAAAACATTGTTTTACAAACCACAGTGTGGTTTAATTTGCTGAAGCTTCTTTGAAGGACAGTAATGTAATATCTTTTTGGGGGGATCGGCATCAAGTTATTTCTTCATTGTTTGCATCAACCTGTTATCCAAGTACATCCAAAATATAAACATTGACAAGATGTCCAATTCATCAGAAACTAGTCTTGCTCATACCCCACAATGATGGTTTGATTGTAGGCTGCTGGAGAGGATGTGCTCTAATCTTTGTAGTGTTTTTATTGTGTCTTTTGAATGGTGGGTGAATATAGTTTATCTCTACTAATGGCTGTTTTGTCTGAATACAAAGCTTTCAGAAATTCCCTAGCATTTTTTTATTCTACTTGATTTATTAGCATGCTTACAGTTTCCCAGTTGAAACTATGAGTCTACCCCATATGTTATGAAATTAAGGAGCTTTCATTGGGTGCTCTAAATGTTAGTTGATGTTTATGGATGTGCTGTGCTGCTCTTCTGCCTGTCTATCCACATAGTGGCTTTTACAGTCCTTATATTGTACATTGCAAACCACTCCTGTTTTTCTTCTTCTTGGGCTATTTGATCTTTTGGCATATTTAAGAAATTTTGGAGGACTTTATTGTGGTAAAGTGATGATTTGTGACTGCAACAGTCTGTTGTTTCTGAGATGTTTTTGATGTATGCTAATGTTATCATCCTTTTCATGGCTTGTAGGTTTCAGAAATCTATCACAGCAGTGGTTCCAAAATGTCTGTCTGCCTTATGCAGAGTTTATTTGGCTTTTATACAGTTTTAACAAGCAAAGCAAAAGCAGGGGTAGCAACAGCATCTTATTGGTACATTCTCTCTTATTTCCCTTGTCAATCTTGCAGACTATCCCAGCCAAGGTAGAAGCTCCACATAACTCCCTCGTACGGCCTATCTCTAATAAACAGTTGAGTTACTGAGCTCCTGGCTGTCTAATGCGCATGTCTGTACGTAACCTTTCCTCTTTTCCCAATTAGGTTCTGCTAATTAGGTGAGCTCATAGGTATTTTCAAGGTAACCAGCTACTGAGATCATGGCATTTTACTGCACATGTCTTTATGTAATGTTTCCTCTATTCCTACAATAGCTTGTATTGATTGTGTTGTAGTGGGTTGAGTGGTCACACACTTTTAGACAAAAATTGAATGTTTACCCATTTTGTTGGAAGATGTTATATAGGTGATCTGTTTCCTTTTTTCTGGGGGTTTCTGCAGTGCATTTGTACTAGTCAACCTTTCTCTGTAAACTCTGTTCCTTAATGAAATGCTATGGATACTTTTATTGAACATAAACTGACAGCCAATGTAAGGTAAGTTCTGGTTTAGGATTGGGAAAAGCAGAAAGAAAGGCAGAGTACACCATCCTCAGCTTCTAAAAGAAAGGTTGGTATCTTTGTGAAGTATGCATATTTGTGTATATACACTATATAAATTTACTGTGTACAATCACTCAACTATATACCGAATTAATATTATATATGTTAAAAAAAATAGAGGAAATAACTCTCCTTAGCACACTATGTATTATTTCTTTTCAGAAAGAGAAAAGGAGATGAGGTGGATGCAAATGTAATCTCAAAAAAGAAACCCAAGAAAGAGAAAGAGAAATTATCAAAACAAGAAAAGCTGCTAAAGGTTTGTTTTGCCATGACTAATTAGTTTCATTTAAAGCACCTTTGGATGATGAGATCAGAATATCCTAAGAGCAATTAGACTTCTTGATGGAGACTGCTCTCTTCTGCATTGTCACCATACTGAATTTGATTTGACCCTGAAGAATGCTTGAAGTAAGTGGAATGTGATAATGCTGAAGGAGCTGACAGCGTTACCAACTTCCATTTAGAATCAGTCTCATATTTTGGTAGCTTGGCTTAACTGCAAGTCAAGTCGCAGTGAGAAGATGCTAACCTGAAATAACCTTCTGGTTATTCTAAATATCTAAAAGCAATTTCTTACATCCTGTTTCTTGAACCATCATCCAAATAATATTCATATAGGAATACAAACAACGGCACTGAATTATATAAACTTAATCTGCTCTGTAAGCCTGTCACCTCTGCCTCTTATTATTCTTAGTAGAAAGGTGTTGGAAAGAAATCTTAAATGTGATACTTTACACATTTTTTTAACCTACAGGATCAGACAGAACTGATCTGGAATATCAAAGATGAATTGAAGAATGCCTGTTCTACCAATGACTTGAAGGAGCTCCTGATAGCCAACAAGCAAGAAGTTCCTTCTGGGGAAGCTGCTGTGAGTTGAGTTCCATTTTATTTGACATTTTGTGTGAAAATGAGGAAAGAGAAAAAAGAAAAAGATTTTGTATTTATTTATCTATTTGAACACACATATACATAGTCATTGAGCTTTTTCTTTTTTAAACAAAGTTTTTTATTTATTTATTGTTACATATTTTAACTTCTTTTATAAAAAAAAAAGTGTTGTCATGGTTTCCCCCCTCTACATCTTCCATTATGCATATTACATTTTACATCATATTTCCATTTTACTTTTCAGTCATCTTATTTTTATTCTATATTATCCCGTTTAGTTTAAATTTTTTCTTAATATATAAACAATATTCTTTTGCCTCTCAAAGTTAATCAAATTTAACATATCATTTCCATCTACCGTGTTTTCCCAAAAATAAGACAGGGTCTTATTTTTTTTTACACACAAAATATGGTTTGGGCCTTATTATGAGGGGGACAGTTTATTGTTTTCGGGTTGCCGGGCAGCTGCTCTCTTGTACACTCTGCCGACAGCCAATCCACAACCATAGAGCATAAGCCCAGAGCGGCCGCTGCCAGAAGACTCAGTTTGGAAGCTGCCGAAAAATCCACGCTGGGATGGCAGAGGCAGCAGTGGAGATGCCCTGGCTCTGCAGGGAGAGCTGGGCCAGGGCATTGTGAGCCTGGGAGGCACGGGAGCAGAACAGCCGCTCGCGCAACCCCCTTCTCCAACCATGCAGAGCGCCATTCACTGGCATTTCAAAGGCGCCAAGCCGCAAGAGCTGGGCGGCGTCAAACAGGCCTTCACACGGCTTGGTGATACCCCTGGGTCAGTGTATGGCACTCCGCACGGCTGGAAAGGGGGTTTGCCAGGTGGCTGCTGTGCCTGGCTCTTTGGGAGCCCACTCGCAGGAGAGCAGCCGCCCGGCAACCCCCTCCCCTTCAGTTGGGCACACCAACCTAGCAATATCCCGAAGGCACCAAGCAACGCGATCACCTTTGCCTCCCCCCCCCCCCCGCCCTGGTTTCTGCTGCTTGGTATGTTCAGGATACCGCTAGGTTGGTGAGCGGGGGAGGGCTTATATTTTTGCCCACCAGAAAAATGTGGCATGGCCTTATTATCAGGAAATGTCGTATTTTTGGGGAAACCCGGTATTATTCTGTTTTGCTATTAGTAATACATATCCACATTGAGCTTTTTCTAAATGTTAATGCTCGTGCAAATTTAATTGAAGTGAGATGAATGTCTGCAGCCCCCAAAGATGTACATGGTCTCCTTCAAAAGATGCTTAAAAACTTGTTTTGCCTAAGTCCTTGGTCTAGGATGGGTAGCAAGTCTCTTATAGGACTATGTTGTATCCTCTTAGGTTGTCCCTTTCTTCTGTTGGATATTTCATTCAATTTTAAACGTGCATCATTCATCTTCCTTTGTTTTAGTGTTGCATGCTGCCCAGAGTTATCGTGAAGTGTGGTGGCCTTATATACATTTCATTAATAAGATAAAAGCAGTCAGAGAAACATGACTTGGGCCTATTAACACAAGTAGAATTTAACATCCATTCATTCAGCCATTATTCAGAGTTACAGCAGCGCTGAATAAGAATGACTAATAATGGTTCCTCATAGTTGTACTGTCGCAATAGCCTCATAGTTACCTGATTGTCTTTTGGGACCTTCACTGCCAGCTTCTGACAAACATTAGTCATTAGAAAAGCTGGCAAGGGTTACAAATGGCAGTCCTGTGATTGTGGGATGTTGTGACTCCACATGATTCACCTAATAAGGGCAACAAAATCTGCCAGAATTGCTGTCCTAAGTCAACATGGTCACATGATATTATATCTTATGACAGCATCATGTAGCAATTGAGCTACTAACCCTGATTACCATTGGTAAGTAGGGACTACGTCTAATGAAATTTAACTTTCTAGGTTGGGTTTAATGCTTTTGATAAAAGAGTATTAGGAAGCAAGGGTGGCATCTTAAAGGCAATCTATTGCCAATATAGGTAGTTTTTAACATACAGACATTTAATGACTGTCCAAAGTTATGATAGCTCAGAAAGGGTGCTTTACACTGAAGAATTTCTGGTTATCATAAAATGCTATGTTCCTTTGCCCTTGGCAACCTGTATGCACATGGAAACAGTTGTCACGATTGTGATTTGCAATCTTCTCTGCTGACTTCCCCAGAAATTCAAAGAGGAAGCTAGCTAGAAAATCGCCAGCTCCTACTTCCTGCCAAAAGATTTCCCCTCCCCTCCATGCATCAGGAGTTGAGGACAGAAACCATCCATCAGGCTACAGAATTGGAAGTGTGGACCTTTGGATTCCTGCTTCATCTCCCCAGCCCAGTTCACAAGGAGGGGAGCTGCCAGCCCTCCTTTGGTAGGCAGCTCTTTTGCTGTCTGCTTAATGACCCACGTGGTTGCTTATCCACAGTTGGGAGTGCCAAGATTGCAGTAGATCACTGAAGCAGTCATAGTGTCTTGCCCAACAACTGAGCCCCTGGTCGCAGTTGTGGTTGAAAGTCAGGGTTACCTGTAAGTGTATCTTAAATATCTTTGGGGAAGTCAGAAATAGAATAGAATTAAGAAGTCGGAAAGGGTTATTAAACAGTCATTTGAATGCTTCTACTAAGTTCTTGGAATATGAAGGTCATGATGCAATTGATAATAATGCTGCATTTAGTCTTATAGTTCTGATGATAAGCAGATATGGCGTAGTATTAGCATGTGACTACAGACTGCTATAACCTGAACCACAGGTGTTTCTCTGGTAAGAAGTGCCATGCTGAATTATACCATACCAATGGCCAGTTTAATTCAGATTCTGTTCTAGCACTAGTTATTGGAATGCCTATAAGAAATACACAAGCAAACCATTGTGTAGTACCCACGTCCCAGATTTTCCAACAAACAATATCAAGATGCATACAGACATTGGTATTGGGAAGAATACACAGCCATCCAACTATGCAAGCTGTTGATGCCATTCCTCTATTCATGGATGGAATTCTTTCATAAAGTTTGTTAAGTAAGCTCCCCATTGGGAGAGCGAGTACATTCAGCGAAGCGTTGGGAGAGTTGTGTTGGAGAACACACAAACCAGCATACAGAGACACTGCA